AAATTAAATTAATTAGTATTACAATTTTATACTTATGTCCCTTCATTGTACTAACTGCACAGAAATACCAATGGGCTGGTATTACAGATGCTTTAAACAACATTTAATCTGACTGAGCTGGAAAATACCAGCAAGTGAGAAAGTACTAACATTTAGCAATGTGATTGCTAATATTTCTTATTCTCAGGCTCTGCTCTCATCATTCAGCTCAAGCCTTTGGTTTCTAGGAAGCATATTGCAACTTCCACCCATAGCTCCTTAGCAGATGTTACTTTTCAGATCAAGTAGGATTTCACATCAAGGTCTTAGGAAAACTGAGGCTCCAGCCCTGCTCCTTCCAAAGAACTTTTAAAGTTGGACAGTCCTATCAAGACTCTGCTGAATCTCTCCCCACCCCACCCCTCCATCCCCACTAATAGAGTAAATATGAAAGCAAACTCTCTCTCCTTGTCTCTCTGTAATTGAGAGGAAATGTTTCCTCAGTCATTTCTTCAAATTAACTCTTTACCTTGAATGCCTTCTTTACAAGTACCTTGCCAGAGGTACACCACCTGATGTTTTTTGACTAGGTTAATTGCACTTTGATGCCTCACAGCAGCTAGCCTGATCATCCAAATCAAAAGTACATTATTTGGCATAATAAACATGGGGTTGGATTTATTAGTCTGCTAGCCCTGCCAAGAACTCAGCAACTCCAGAAACCAGTTTGCTTATATACGTGCCTAAATATTGTCTTGAGACTGACTTCAAGCAGCCAGTTTTTGAAGCTGCAACCAGTCTGTCTTGAGGATCAGTGCAAGACTTGCAGGCAGTAACGCTGAAAGTCTGTCTCCAGAGATCCAAAAGATGCTGTTAGTTAAATGCAATACTCCATCTCTTTTAGAACATTGTTTCCCTCAGTGTCCACGTTTTCCTCCATGGAAAACATGCCCCTTGGCATGGACCAGGTTAGTGCTGGGGTGATGCTGACTTGCGTCACACCAAAAAACCCACTCCCCACCCTGGTCTTTTGGAGGTTTCTGGTCCTCTCCTGTGTGTAAAGATAGACAGATTGCTCGAGAGAGGTTTCCTTGTGATCTGAACATTTCCTTTGGTGGTGCTGGTGGAAGTGCCATGAAAGAGAGGTTCCAGCATCCACAGCAACAGCTTCTGTGCATCTTGAAAATAGTTTTTACAACGTGTTCAATAGAGAGGGGAACTAAGGAAGTGAGGGTTTAATACTCTGGTATTGCTACCACTGCAGGTACTGCCAGGCAAGGATATGCTACTCCATCCATTCACCTGCTCCCAGCACAAACCTACAAAGCAATGGATGAGGAGCCAAATGGCTGCAGAAAAACCTGCCTGATGTGCAAGCAAGAGTTTGTAAAACCCTCAAAGCACTGAAACTGCTTAAGTTGCCAGTTTGTGGGAATACACCAGGAAGGTACCTAAGCAGCCTAAATGCCTTACCAACAAATGCTAACTCAGTCTCAGATTCTTGTCTGGTAGATTTTTACAGGCAGATGAACTAAGAAAGAGAGAAGTATGCTCAGAATTTCAGAAGTGAGTGCATAGATGTCAGATGGGTAAAAATAAAATGTAAACAGGCTTCTCGTTATTCAGAAATTTCAGACACCTTAAACAATGTAAACAACCAAAGCTGAACATATTTTATTTTATTTTGGAAACCATGCTTTTATTCTGATTAGATTTCATTTTTTTAAGAATACTGGCAATAACTTTCAGTCTGCTGTGAATTTTTTCCTTAGGTTAAATTGTTGAATGTGAGAAGGACACATAACAGTCATTGAGTCTTGCTATTTATCTTACTATTATCTTTACTATTGCACATGAATCTCATTAAATCTCAATTTCAGAATTATTTATAAACAGAATGGCTTACAAGCCTTAATGAGGCAAAATGGGGGCAATCCCATGCTATAGCCATTCCAAAAATCTATTTCTTCAAGGGAAGCTTTGTCTGCATAAGGACAGGTGGTATCTGCTCTGGGTATTTTAATTTCCTGCCTTGGTAATTCCTAGCAATAAATTTTGATGGGATACAGATTATGATAATGACTAATAGTTCTGGGGTATTTGCTTTGAGATGATAGTGTTTATTTCTTTGCTTTTATTACTAAATTTTATAAATAGCAGCATTTAACTTCAATTACATTAAATAGGTTTTTTTTCTAGATGAAAGGCTGAGGCTGTCCTCCTACTAATGCCATGAAAACAGCTTTTTTTTAACATATATAATATGAAAGCATTTGCAGACTTACTGTATGGCCTTTCCTCACATTCTTTTAATTTGATTTACTCCCAGAAGCACAAATTACAGAAACCCTGCTCGTCACGTACAAGCTGTGTCACTGAAACAACCAAGAAACCAGGCATCATCTGTTTTACATCTATAACCGTGCCCAAGCAGAGTAGCCTTGGTGGGAGCCTCTGTGTGACAAGATAAATGGTTGCATTAGCATCTTAAGGAGTCATGTAACTGTTTATGTCCAATTAGGTGCACCTTTATGTGGCAGCTTATTGTCAAGCTGCACAGAGATTCAATAATTTGAAGTATTCTCAATAGCAGTTGTAAAAGTGAAAAGTTCAATAGGAAACACTGTGTCTGCTCTGTACCAGCCAGACACCCTGCTTTGAAAGCTCAAGAAATATAGCACTATTCTTTGAGAGAAAAGATGAAAGTGTCAAGCTCAGGTAAGAGAAACAAGTTTTCATCTCTGAGATCCCCACAGAACCACTACAGCTGTGGGAGAAAACATTAATTCATTAATAAGATGGTAAGGTAAACTCTGAACACAAAAAAAGATGACTTTTCAGAATCAAACTTTTTTCCTGTATTGAAATAAGTGTGGTTTCCCTCTAGTTAGCACTAAGTTTTTTCAGTGTTGTTTTTTTGGTGGGGTTTGTTTTTTTTTTTTCCTGTTCAAAGTTGCTGGTCCCTGCATCTTTACTAAAAATTCCATATATTTTAAAAAAATAGTTAGAATTATTTTGTGGGGTTTTTTTCCTGCTATTTGAAATTACTAGAGCCAAAAGTCTTTCTTGGCTTTTACAGTGAGTTCAGGCTGAGAACAATTCCAATGCTCCCTGCCAGCTTCAGAGTCTCAAGCAAAAATTAAGTTCTTCCAAAATACAAGTGCTATTCTAAGAGATAACATTCTTTTGAGCAGTTCATTGGCCACACTAACTGAGCTGGAAACAAGAAGTTAAATGAATGGAGCCCTTTAACTCTGTGAATGCAAATACTTAAGAAATGGATAGGCAACAAGTGTAAGAAGTGAATCGTGTGGAGCTGTCATGCTGCAGGTAAAGCCAACTCAGAAGCATTTCGTTTGGGAACAGACACATACAGCAGTATTGGAGTAAGGGCCTTTCTTTACCAAAGGAAATAATGGAAGACAGATGGCATTAATACGAGTATAGCTGGTAATGTACATCAGCTATGATCTCAGAGGTGTTTGGAGGTGAGAGAATAGTTTAATCTCCTTCTTTCCCAGTTTAGCTCCTTTGCAGAAGCAGCCAATCCAGGAGCTATTTAATACTAATTCTGATTACAGATATCCTCCTGATGGGCTCTGGGATAACCCCACCAGTTAAGAATCAGCAAGAAACTGCTGCTGGGCTTTGTATCACCCATCATGTCTGGTTTACACAATATTTTCTTGAAAGACTGTAAACACCTACTATTCAGGCCCCTTTACTTAGTTATGTTTTATTTTTCATTCAAACCTTTTCATGTAAAAAGCATGGATCATACACTGTCTCACCTTGTGCAGAAATACCAGCTTATTTCTCTCCTGTCCATCAGGCATGGACTCAGTCCCTGAACATTCACCTGCCGAAGGATGTCAGATATACGAGGTTCACTTCAAAGAGCTGTTGAAGAAAGAAAATATCCTATATGGTTGGCCAAAGGGCTCCTCCCCAGTGTTTCCTTGCCAGAAGGCAGTGTTATTCCATGGCATTTGAAAGGGAGAAAAGATTTTAGAGGAACTGTGATAAAGCAGGAACTCAATTTATACATGCATTATTCTTCACAATCTAATCTCCAAATGCCTTCCATAAAAATTAAGTGCCTGCCATCTCTACAGCTGGTAAACTGTCAGGGCTGATTTAATTACTTGCTTTTAAAGCTCTGCTTCAAAGCATGGGAATTCTGTGCGATCGTTCTCCTCAGTTTCAGTATTTATTTCAAAAGAAGAATTCCACACGGGCTAGCTGTATTCCTGAAAAGTTTTCGCGCTGCAATCGCGGCTCTCGGGATCACGCTGAAAGACCAGCGGAAGCCGCTGCCTCTCACGCCGCGGGTTCCACTCCCTGCCTCTCCCAGCCGCGGGTGGGCTCGCCGCGGGCCACCTCTCGGCGCAGCCCCCGCCCAGCAGCGCGGCACGCCGCTGGACTGAGGATGAGGAGCCCAGGGGTGCTCAGGACGCGCCGGTCCCCTACCTGTGGCTGCAGCTCGGCGCCCGCAGGGAGCAGCTGCCTGCTCCCCCCGCACACCGCCCCGACACCGCGCCCCTGCCACTCCGCCCGAGCCCCAGCCTCCTCACTGCGATGCTGAGCGGATTACGGGCCGGCACTTTGACAACTGCCTGCGCTCCCCAGAGCCGCCCTGCCTGCCGCAGCCTCTCCCCGCTCTCCGCGGCGGTGGCAGCTCCCCTGGGCCGGGCCGGCGGCGCTGAGCGAGCCCGGACCGGCCCCCAGGGAAGCCCCTCCGCAGGCAGTGGCATGTCCCGGCCCGGGAACCCGCCGGGCTGCTGCGGGGCCACCCGCGGGAGGGGGCTGACACTTGCGTGAGCGGGGACAGCGGAACCCCTCGCCCGCCGCGGGGAAGAGCGGCGGCTCCCGGCGGGGCAGCGCTCGGCGGGCGGGGCGGGGGCTGCGGGGCGCCGTGAGCAGCCCCCGGGCAGCGCCCCGAGGCCGCGGAGCCGCTGGCCGCTGGGCAGGGCGCCCCTCGGGGCGGAGGGGAGCTCCCGCGCCCCGGCCCCGGGCCCGACATGGTGCTGCTGTCGGGGCATGGGGACCAGCTGGCCGGGGAGAGGGTCTGCCCCGCGCCGGCGGCGGCGGAGGAGATGCCCGGCGCCGAGGCGGAGAGCAGCCCCGAGCAGGGCACGGAGGGGGCTGCCGCCGAGGAGCCGGGCGAGGAGGAGGAGGAGGAGGAGGAGGAGGAGGAGGACTGCGAGGAGTACGAGGACTTCTCCGAGCTGCCTGACACCTGCAGCATCGCCTCGGACGACTCCTTCTACCCACCGCTGGGGCTGGATGACGACGACGATGACACCTGGTCCCAGGACGGGGACGAGCGCGACAGCCCCGAGGCGCTCAGCCTCTTCCGAGCCTGCTGCACCAACAACAGCATCGTGCTGAAGGCGCTCATCCGCCAAGGCCCCGGGGAGGAGGAGGTGCGGGAGGCCGACCGCAATCGCCGGGTGAGCATCCCGCGCCGCGCCCCGGGAGCCGAGGGAAGAGCGGCTTGGCTGTCGCGCCGCCTTTGCTCCGCACCGTGGAGCAGAGTCAGAGGGGAGGGGGGCGGGGGCAGCCGTGCGTGTGTAGGGTGACACCCCTCTCATTTGCTGGGGTGCTGCTCGGGCACGGGACCCCAAGCAGCGAGGAGCAGAGAAGGGCGTGAAGCTTTGCCTTGCTAGGCATGACTTTCCACCTTTGGCTAAGGAAGGTCCAGTTTATGGGATGAGAGAAAGGCTGAGATTCGAGTTTTCCCGCGATCAGTTTTGAATTGGGTTTTGTTTTCCCACAGTTTATCCGGGACGTGAGTGGCTGGTAATGGTTGTGTTCAGCATCACTAAACCTTACTCTTTTCTGGATGTCCATCTGGGATGTCTATCCCCTGCAGTACTTCACACTGTTCACCTTAATAATTTGAACAACTGATAAAAGTTCGTGGGAGTTACTTTTTTTTTTTTAACTTTCTCTCCCCCCAAAATGTAAGCTTGCTTCTGGTTCCTAGGATGCCAATCAAAGCTTGAGGTATTCCTGTGCTGAAATCATAATTTGCAGTATTCTCCTGGTATTTATTCTGTTGCTGGTAAACTCTTTTTGGAGTCTGAGTCAGTACAAGGTTTGTGGTTCAGTTTTTGCCTGTTACTTAGTTAATTGCAAGAACAGAAGTGTACTTCACTAAATGAGAAGTTGAAAACTTGAGAAAGATGTCCTGGGTAGTGTGTAAGTGGGACATTTAAACAGCAATATTGAGGACTAGCAACAGCAGTTCCTTTCACAACTATCACTACAGTTTGTATTAAAACTAAGAAACTTCTACTTTTAGTTTGCATAAACAATCTGCAAAACATTTCTATGACTAGTCTGTGACAGGAATATTTTGAAAGAAAGCCCGTGTTATTTTAATTGGGCAAGTGACTTGCACATTCTAGCAACATAAGTGGTCTTTACTTCAAAAAGAATGCCATACTTTGTGTTTGGTGCTGTTTGGAGAAGGGCTTTTCTTGCATTTTAGATGTATGTACTTGTAAGATTTTTCCTACAAATACCTTTTTTCCTCTCCAAAAGATTGGTTTTAATACAGATTTTTAGTGATCTAATTTACTGTAAATTTCTGAAAAAGGTAAAATATTGTATTAACACATCTGAGGGAGCAGCAACCTATGGCATGAGGGTGGGAATGAGCAACACAGGGCAGAAATATTTTAACTCAACTCTTCTGCCCAGGCCAAGGTATGGTATGGTTATACTTTAGTTGGTAACACATGAGATCCAAATATTTGAGATTTTGAAGATCCTGCAGATATACCTATCCTTTATATTAGTTCTGTGCTTAAGCTGGAGCCCAAACCCAGCCTTGACACTGTGTGGGGGTTTGGGCTCCAGCTGCTTCTGAGGTCTGCTGATTCAGTGTGTCTCAAGTGTGTGATGATGCAGGAGGTTTGGCCCCACCATACCCATGGCATAAAAGACCAAGTGCCCCAGAGCTGCCCTCTCTGAAAAGGTGGCCTTCCCACCCAACAGAGGGTAAGCATCTGTCTGTGAAGCTGCAGAGATCCCCCACCTCAGGGCTGGGGTCCTGTAGAGGTGAGCCAAGGGGAATAGAAAAGTTAGCGTAGGCATCAGCCCATCATCCTGCAGCAATTCCTTTGGCAGAGGTGATCAGATCAGGGTTGTGAAAACAGTGAATTTACCTATTTGGACAGTTCCTCCCTTCACCGCCCCCCTTCCCAAAGAAGAAGTTGCTCTTTATCTCTCCAGCTTCACAGAAAGGAAACAAAATTGTAGCTTGAATCCAAAAAGAAAGTTTCTCCTCTCTGTTCATACTGTAAAAAAATAAAATAAAATTATCTACTTAGACAAATATTCCATTTGACCTACAATTAAACACTGACATCAAATTCTATTTTCTCCATTCTTTATGAAAACAAAGTAAAAGAAGTTCTGGAATTCAGCAACTTCTGAAACTTTATGAATGATATTCATTCATCATGAGTTCAGTTGCTCTCTCTGCCTCCCTCACAGAAGTGCCCTAATCACAGCCGTTCAGAGCAGGATAGCATATCTTTTCCAGATAGATGTGAATGGGATGGGAGAAACCTTTTGACCAGGAAGCTGAAACTTCAGGTTTCAGGACTACAGTCCTGATGTCCCCTCAGGACATCAGGGAAATTCTCATTATTTTGCAAAAGAAAACCACCTTTTTTCAGAGAACTTTACCTGACAAAAGGTAAGTTTTGCTCAGGTCTTTTACTGCACTTTCTGTGGATTTTTTGTAGCTCTAGAATTCGAATGTCATTGGACATTATCCATAAACAAAACAATTTTGCTGCCACAAAGTAACAGAAAAAGTTACATACACCAGTCATGCTAATGAATTTTTTTGGTTGCTGAAACTTTTAATGGTGGCTTTCAGCATCTTCTTTTGCCAAGATGATGTTTGTTTACAATGCTATCTTGCATGCTTTTATTGGAAAGCTTTTTTTTTACACTGTGAACAAATAAGCCAAACTTTTGGTTGTTCCAAGTTTTTGTTTCTTTTCTGTGAGGCAGGAGAGAGAAGGAAGAATAACTTGCTTTTTGAGAAGAGGGATGGTGAAGAGAGGGCTGTGCAACTGAGTATATTAACTATTTTCACCATCCTGATCTGATAACCTCTGGTAAGTACAGTGAAGTTTAATTTTCACAAAATAAAAATCAGGCTTTCTTCAGAATAGGCAAAGCAAGTAACAGGTTATTGTAGTAAGATGATACCATATTTTGATTTTGAAAGTGATTAAACTCTGCTCATAAAATGTAACATGAAGAAGAAACTTCCAAATGCCCTAAATTGGGCACAAACAGCCCTTCCTTTGGAAGGAATTAGTTCTAAAAATGCTAGGATCCAGAGGCAACCGTACTTATTTTCTTCCATCCTTTTTGTCAGAATACATCAATTGTCTCTTTTGAGTCAATTTGCCAAGGCTGGATAGTGGCTTTTTGTGTCGTTTCTTCAGAAGTGTGTTTTCCCCATACTCTGTGAGCTGCAGAACCTCCTGCCAGGCGCAAGTTTTCATTAAATTCACCTTCCTGAAGTAAACCAGACTTCACAACATCTGATTTATTAGTCACCACATGTAGCCTGAAGATCTGTACCTTCCCTGTCTCGTTTTCGTTACTGTCAAGACAACAACAGTTTATATATTGTTGTCTGAGGGGGACCCCCAGAGGGCTGATCCCTCGATCTTCTCTTGTACTGCCGTCTGTATATGGAATCCTGAAAGATTGGCTTGGTACTGCTGATTTCCTCTCCTTGCACAAGCTAATACTGAAATAATTGGAAAATACCTATGACATAATAATACACTAATTGTACATCATGCAGGGTGACCTTTTATTCATTAATGTTTATGCGTTTACCTGCCGCAAGCTAGCACTAAAGAGGGATTTGAAAATATATATGGGAAAATAAAATCATGGTTCTGATGAAATTTCCTGACCTGACTGAGACTATAGTGTCATCTGGGTAATGGTGCTACTTTTCACTGTGTTGCATGGAGACCGGTTCTGCCTCCTCACTACCTACATTTCTAGAATTTCAGATATTCGTATCTCGTAATTTTAACATCATTTAATATCAAATTTTGCCTGGTGATCAGGATTATAAATATACTCAGAAAAACAGAGTTCCAAAATCTGGTGTTACCTAACTGCAGAATGCAAGCAAATTTAGAAATTTGCCATGACAATAGCAAAGGCATTAAGAGATGGGGGAGAGAAAGAAAAGAAGCTAAAGAACATTCCCTTGCCAGATTGAAAATAGTCACTGCAGCTAATCCACAGAAAGGTTTTGTGTTAACCTTCCATGTGGTATAGCCTGTATTAGTAGGTATTCCGTAAGCCTGTGTTTTAGAGGTGATCTAGGTGTGAGAATATTCTGTTGTAGTCTTTTTCAGCTTTTTGGTTTTTTATGTCATTGTTCAATGAGTCTTTTGTCCAGTCCCATGGGTAACTATGGAGATAATTGTGGAAATGTTTCTCTGAATGCAACCTAGGCTTGTTTGTGCACTGTACACCACAAATGTTTGTTTGGGAATGGCATCACTCATCCAGTTTCCTTACTGGACCTGTGACAGTATCCGAGGCATCAGGCTTGTCATGTTGGTCTCCTTGCCCTATGCTGCAAACTGCTCCTCAGCAGGGCAAAGTGGCTCGCTGGCTCCGAACTACCATAACAAACTTCTTCAGGCAACTCAACCAGTTTAGGGAGTGTTGTCCTTCAGTTTTCCACAGAGAGATGCAAGTGAATCCTCCATGGAGCTGACACCTGAATTTGTCTTTGCCAAAGGGCTAGGCTTGTGAAATTGCAACTGGTTGTGAAGGACAGGGAGGCAGTGGTTCAGCTACCACTTTCTGGGTGAGGGAACATTGTGCTGGATAATACTTTTCTAGGAAGTCTTGTATCACAAAAAAATACCAGAGCCTGTGTAACGCTCCTTTAACCTGTTTTATTATTTTCATTATCTTTACAATGCTAACTTGTAAAAATAAAAAATAAGCAGTCCAGCATTTTGTGGTGAGGGATGACGAACTCCCTGTCATATGTTGCTTTTCAGTTGTGCTGGCACATAGTGTAAGACATCCCATGTCAGAGAAAGGCTTTGAAGAACATCATCTGCTACAGTGCTGGGAATCCTTTTTTTTATAATTATTATTTTCATAGTTTCAGTTCCTTCTTATTATCTTATACAAGGTATTCTCATAGGAACAATTGTATTGAAACTTAAAATCAAGACTATAAACCATGAAAGGGAATTTTTTAGGGTAAAAGTACTTTTAAAAAGACCCTAACAGCAAAAGTAATCTAATTTAAATCCTTCAAAAAGTACAGAAATACCCAAATACAGTAAAAAATACCCCTGGAAATATGTGTTTGTGCTTAAAAAGGAGGTAAGCAAGTAAGGCAAGGAATAATAGTTATCAAAATACAGAA